GCCCTCTTCCTCGCTTCCTCGCGACCGCCATTTGGGAGCCGCGCCGCCCCCCTGCGCCGCTGGATTTCTCTTAATTTAATTTAACGGCGTGACTCGGCTGCGGCCTTCGCCCCCTCTGCCTTTACTCCGCCTCGCCGCGGCCAGAGTGGTTCCGCAAACGGGCTCCAGATTGCGCTGGGGCGTCGCCCTGCCCTGCCCTGCCCCGGCCGTGGATGTGTTGCGTTGCCGCCTCCCCGCCCCCCTCGCCCGGAGAGCCACCTGTCGGGCGGGCGGCACGGGAGGCACGGCGCGTGGGTCGTTGCTCGGCCACTGCTAGCCTCGTCTCTAATTCTGGACCTCTGTGTGTTGCAGGAGCCACGCCCGCCATGCAGAGTGCGTGCCGCAGATAGCGCCCTCTGTCATCGCCTCGCGCCTCGCGCCTGGGGCCGCACCCAGGCCCCGCCCCTCGCCCCGCCCCCCGCCACGCCCCGCACCATACGTCCGCAGGGTGGCAACACCGTGGCAGCGGTAGCGATAGCATGCTACTCAGGCGGTACTCGAGCCCAGCAGCCGGAGCAGCAGCAGTCTCAGCCGCCACTACCGCGCCTCAGCCTCAGCATCAGCAGGCTCTGGGGAGCCCCCGCCCGGCGGCCTCGCCCACGACGGCCCCGCGCCGTCGCCGTCCTCGTCGCCGACCTCGTCGCCGACGTCCAGCCGCCGGCGCCGGAAGCTAAAGTTCTCTCCGCCGCCGCAGACGCCGCCCCTGACGCCGCGGGACGCCGCCGCGGTGCTGCTGCCGCTGCTGCCCTTCTCGGAGGCGGCGCGGCTCGGCGTGGTGTCGCGCAAGGCCCGGCGGCCCGAGCAGGAGCCGCGGCCGCGGACCGCCACCGCGTCCGCCGACAACGCGTGCGCGTCGCCCATGCATGTGCCGTGTCAGCGCCGCGCCCGATGATGACGGGCCCCCGCGCCCAGTCAGCCCCGTCAGCGCGTACAGTGCGGCCCGGCCGGCAGGCTTCTGCCATCTGTTTTCAAAGCGGGGCCCGGCGGTGGCGGCCTGGGCTCTGGTCCGCGATCCGCATCGGCCCATCGGCCGCCCATCGGGCCCATTGAGCTCATCGGGCCGAGCCTATAAGAGTGGCCCCGCGGCCGGCGGCAGTCCTCCCGCGTACGCCGCCGTAGTGCACGCGCCGCACAGCCGCCGCACCGCGCCCCGCGACGCCGCCGCGACACCGTCGTCGACGTCGTCCCCGTGCGCCTGAACCGCGTGCCGCGCGTCGCGATGAAGCTCAAGGAGCGGCTGCGGGCAGAATGCAGGCGGCGGGCTTATTGCTGTCCTTGCGCGGGGTGGGCGGGGCGGGGCGGGCGGGCCTGCGCGGGGCCGGGCGGCGGGGCGATTCCAAAGGCCGTCTCGTCGCTCGCTGTCGCACTCGCGGCGCGCCGTGAGGGTGGACAGAGACGGAGCGACGGAGCGACGTTTTGACTGCGCCGCTGCGCTGCGCTGTCCGGAGGAGGGCGATCGGAAAATAAAGAAGCGAGCCGGGCACCACAAATTTAGCCCCGAGCGGCTGCGGGCAGAATGCAGGCGGCGGGCTTATTTGCTGTCCTTGCGCGGGGTGGGGCGGGGCGGGGCGGGGCGGGGCCACTGTCCGGAACAGAGAGCAGAGCAGCTTGCCTGCGTTGCGATTTTTTTTCGACTTTGCGTTATTTTCTTCTCATGGCTGTGAATTTTCGCTCAGACAAAAAAAAAAGTGTGCACTGCTTATCGGATGTTTTTGATTCCCCGTTAGCGCCCTTTCCTTTGATTTTGTTCTCCCCCTGCTCTTCCGTAAATAGACGAAAAACCAAGCGCTCTATTCGCGATGTATCGGGAAAACAATTCACACTCGCATGCCCTGCGCTGCGAAGAATGTTCCCCTAAAATACCCTCCGGATAAGTTTAGCGCTTCGTTCGTCGTGCACACGTGTTCGTGAACTTTTCTGGCAGTGCGCGACGCGCCGGGAGTTTTTGTGTGGCAGCGCGAAGGCAGGCCGGGCAGGGATTGGAGAGGCGAGTTGGATTGCAGTTAAAGTTGGGATTCGCTTAGGGCTTTTTGCGCCTGCCTGCCTGCCTGCCTGCCTGTCTGCCAGGGCGCGGCGCTTCGGCCGGGCGACCCCCATGGCCGTGGCCGCCACACCGCCACACTGCTTTGAATTGCTGCCTCGGTCTGTTTACTGTAGTTTAAGGAGGCTGCCCCGAGCGCAGCGCGCAGCATTTCACATTTCGTGGGGCTTCTTTTTGCGGCCCTCGTCTCTGCGTGGTCCCGGTCCGTGCCCGCCCTGTCCGCCCTGCCCCGCTGTCTCGCCTGCCTGGATCCTCTGTCTCGCCCGAGGCCTCATAAGCAAGTCGTGGAGTGCAAGCTGCAAGGCACTCAGCCCGCTCGCTTTTGTCGGTTTGGATTCGCCGCCACAGTGGGCCAGAAGACCGGTGGAGGCGACCAGAATTCTAGACGCCTTTTGGGCTCTTGAGTCGCTTACGTGGTCGCTTAACAGGATTCGAACCGAACGTGTGACCCCGCCAATGGATTCCTCGTTCACGAGCAATCCATTGGTGGGGTCACGCGTTCGGTTCGAGTCGTTTTAAGCGACCCTGAAGCCCGAAAGGCGCCAAAAGGCGTCTAGAATTCTGGCCGCCTCCACCGTTCTTCTGGCCCACTGTGCGCGTGGAGCCCGCCAAGCCCGCCAAGCCCGCCAAGCCCGCCAAGCCCGCCAAGCCCGCCAATCGGCAGCAGACGACGCGACACGCGCTCATTTGTCACCCTCTACAGTGGCGGCGCCGGGCGGCGCGGCGGGTCGGTCCCCGGAGCCCTCTCCAGTCCGGAGAGCGCTCGTCGCATTTAATTTAGTGAAAAGCCGCTGCCGATCTGTGACAATTGCCTTTCGATTCCGTCACCGACCGGTGACTGTCCCTCTCGCACCCCGTCGGCACGCCCCGTGAGTGCGAGAGAGACAGACTGTCCGGCCGGCCGCCCCCTGGACATACTTTGTCCACGGGCCGCCCACTGCGGTGTTGGTGGCGCACTACAAGCTCTTATCGCGTTCATGAAAATTAAACGGGCCTCATTTGCAACAAGTGTTGTCGACTATCGCCAACGACTTGCTCCGCTTGTCGTTGGCCAAACAAATTGTTTCCCCGCTCCGCTCGCTGTGCAGCGCAGCGCCGCCGCTTTCAGTGCTTTACTCTCAGAACAAAATGACGAGATAAGAGTTTTTTTCGCGATCCTGCTTTGCCGAGCCGCGGGCCCCGCCCCACAACCTGGGCTGCATTAAGTCCGCCCTGCCGTCTGCGGTATCTGCATCTCTGTTTGCTCGCCGTCCACAGTGCAGGCGCGTCCGTCTACCTGTCCGCCTGTCAGTCTGTCCGTCAGTCTGTCCGTCAGTCTGTCCGTCCGTCCTCCTCGCTCCCGCGGCCTTTTCAATTGGCGCGTGCTGTTAGTGCACGCCGCGAAATTGAAATGCAAATGTGAGCTTCGCCTGCTCCGCCACGTCGACGGGCAGCTCGACGGGAAGCGGCGGAGTCACGCCGACACGGAAACCACGGAAGGCGCCGACGGCGTCCTCTTGGAGCGCGCGGGGCACTGTAAGGCAGTGCGTCGGCCACTGCAAGGGGCTCTGTATGGCCGCGGCCCGCCCCGCTGATGTGCGACTCTGTAAACGATGCCATTCGTTCTCCCCGTTGTGTCTGTCTGTCTGTCTGTCTGTCTGTCTGTCTGTCTTCTGTCCGCCTTCTGTCTGTCTGTCTGTCTGTCTGTCTGTCTGTCTGTCTGTCCGCCCGCCCTCTTCCTCGCTTCCTCGCGACCGCCATTTGGGAGCCGCGCTGCGGCCCCCTGCGCCGCTGGATTTCTCTTAATTTAATTTAACGGCGCGACTCGGCTGCGGCCTTCGCCCCCTCTGCCTTTACTCCGCCTCGCCGCGGCCAGAGTGGTTCCGCAAACGGGCTCCAGATTGCTCTGGGCGTCGCCCTGCCAGCCCTGCCCTGCCCCGGCCGTGGATGTGTTGCGTTGCCGCCTCCCCGCCCCCCTCGCCCGGAGAGCCACCTGTCGGGCGGGCGGCACGGGAGGCACAGCGCGTGGGTCGTTGCTCGGCCACTGCTAGCCTCGTCTCTAATTCTGGACCTCTGTGTGTTGCAGGAGCCACGCCCGCCATGCAGAGTGCGTGCCGCAGATAGCGCCCTCTGTCATCGCCTCGCGCCTCGCGCCTTGGGGCCGCCACCCAGGCCCCGCCCCTCGCCCCGCCCCCCGCCACGCCCCGCACCATACGTCCGCAGGGTTGCCACACCGTGGCAGCGGTAGCGATAGCATGCTACTCAGGCGGTACGCGAGCCCAGCAGCCGGAGCAGCAGCAGTCTCAGCCGCCACTACCGCCGCCTCAGCCTCCGCATCAGCAGGCTCTGGGGAGCCCCCGCCCGGCGGCCTCGCCCCACGACGGCCCCGCGCCGTCGCCGTCCTCGTCGCCGACCTCGTCGCCGACGTCCAGCCGCCGGCGCCGGAAGCTCAAGTTCTCTCCGCCGCCGCAGACGCCGCCCCTGACGCCGCGGGACGCCGCCGCGGTGCTGCTGCCGCTGCTGCCCTTCTCGGAGGCGGCGCGGCTCGGCGTGGTGTCGCGCAAGGCCCGGCGGCCCGAGCAGGAGCCGCGGCCCGCGACCGCCACCGCGTCCGCCACCGCGTGCGCGTCGCCCATGCAGTGCCGTGTCAGCGCCGCGCCCGATGCTGACGGCCCCCGCGGCCCAGTCAGCCCCGTCAGCGCGTACAGTGCGGCCCCGGCCGGCAGGCTTCTGCCATCTGTTTTCAAAGCGGGGCCCGGCGGTGGCGGCCTGGGCTCTGGTCCGCGATCCGCATCGGGCCCATCGGGCCGCCCATCGGGCCCATTGAGCTCATCGGGCCGAGCCTATAAGAGTGGCCCCGCGGCCGGCGGCAGTCCTCCCGCGTACGCCGCCGTAGTGCACGCGCCGCACAGCCGCCGCACCGCGCCCCGCGACGCCGCCGCGACACCGTCGTCGACGTCGTCCCCGTGCCGCCTGAACCGCGTGCCGCGCGTCGCGATGAAGCTCAAGGAGCGCCTCGTGCTTGGCCTCAGCGTGTCGGCCGTGCTGTTCACGCTGCTGCTCGTCGTGGACCTGCAGATGGACCTGGGCATGTCGGGCCACCACCTGGTGCCGAGCCACGGCCGCGTGCGCTACGGACACCAGCAGCAGGACGCGCCCGGCAGCGCCTACAACAGCTTCAGGAGGAAGTTCCTGCAGCGCAACAACAACGCCTCGCGGGAGTACAACTCGGGTAAGTCCCTCTGGCGGCTGGTGGCGGACACCGCCAGGCTGTCAACGCGAGCGTCGCGAGCGCGGCCGACAAGTGAGGTTATGTGTGCTTTGGTGTGGCACTGCGCTGCCTTGCTCGCGATGTGGCAGCTGACGCCGCGACGCCGCGACGCCCCGTCGGCACACTGTCAGCCTGCCGAGGTGTTTGCAGTGCGGGGCCCGCGCCCCCGCAGCCCTGAGCCCTCCGCCACTCGCAGCGCCTGCTCGGCCGCGTCTTTGTTTTGATTCTGCGTCGCATCGCCAGTGGCGTTGCTAGCGGAGCCCGCGGGGCAGCCAGGAGCCTGATTAGCGGAGGCGCGAAGGCCGCGCATGGCCTGGCCGTCGGCATGGTGCCTTACACGCGCACGCAGCACGCGGCACTTCCAGTGCACCGACCTTCGCGTGCCTTGCAGTGTCGTGTCGTGTCTTCTGCTCCACGGCCCCGCGCTGCTTGTCTCTCGACGCGACGTTCGGACGGTGATTTCGATGCGCGCGCTTATCTTATCAGAAGCGACGGGACGGTAAAGGGGGAGGCGGGGGCAACGGGGAGCCGTGGTGTATTATTTATTATACGAACTAGCAGCGCGGCGAGCGCAGTGGCGACGCCGGCAAGCTGTTCGCTCTGTCTCTCTCGCACCCCCACGAGACGGCCCACGAGTGCGAGAGAGACAGAGCGCTGTTCGGCACCAACCAGACTGGTCTGTATCACTCTTTGGACGAGAGTGAAACTGCTGCAACTCTACTGGCGACGGGTTGACTCTGGTTCGTTCCACTGACCACCGCGTCCATGGCGGCCGCGTCCGGCTGCCCGTCGAAGCTGCTGAAGACCATCTCGTTGTCGCGAGCGAGTGCTAATGTGATTTGCAGCCCCGCCGTCCGTCCGTCCGGCAGAACGGCAGGACTTGACGTCGGAAGGCGGCGCACAGTGGGCCAGAAGACCGGTGGAGGCGGCCAAAACTCTAGACGCGTTTTGAGCTCCAGAGTCGCTAAAGCGGCTAAACAGGACTCGAACTGAACGTGTGACCCACCAATGGATTCCTCGTTCGGAGAGCAATCCGTTGGTGGGGTCACACGTTCGATTCGAGTCTCATTTAGCGACTCTGGAGCTCAAAACGCGTCTAGAGTTTTGGCCGCCTCCGCCGGTCTTCTGGCCCACTGTGCGTCGGACGCGCGGGCTGGGGGCGGTTCGGGGCAGTTAGCACAAGCAGGCAGGCAGGCTGGACAGCGGCAGCAGGCCGACTGGGCGGGCAGACAGACGGCCTCTCTCTCTCGCACTCATGGAGCGTGCCGTAGGGGTGCGAGAGAGACAGAGGCGCGAGAATGAGCGTGCAGTGTGAGGCCGGGCAAAACTGCGGCAAAGCTTGCCTGCCACTTTGAGTGTCACGCCGTGCGCGCCGGGCCGGGCCGCCACGCCAGGCCGTACAACTCTCAGCACGGCGGCACTCGTGCCTGTCATGTCGACCCCTCGACGCCCTGGAGGCTGGAGGCCCCGGAGGCCCTCGCCCTGGAGGGCACTCCAGGTCGGAGCGGGGGCTTTTGGTTTATTCGCACACTCCAGCCGCCTCGCCGCGTCGTCCTGCCCCGAGGGGGTAACCACTCGCGTAATACCCTGTACACCAAAACCGTGTATTACGCGTAATACACGTGATCGTATACCATTTTTGGGTCAAATGTGCCAAATTTTGGCATTTTAAGGCCGTAATACACGTGTAATACACCGTAATACAGCGTAATACCGAGTAGTCTGTACACGATTTCTTGAAGTGTTTACCCCCTCGTCCTGCCCCTTCTGGAGGGGGTGGCGCGGCGTGGCGTGGTGCCTCCACTGGAAGCGCCTCTAAATCCGGGGACTAGACGTGAAAACACCTCGACGCCAATTTACCTTTAAAATACTAAACACATCAGAGTTAAAATTTCTGTCAAGAACCGGCGTATTTGAATGTAGGTAGGTAGACGAGGGTAACCATTTAAATGAAGACGGTAAAATTTTGCAACCGTGCCGGAGGGGCTCTTGCTCTCGCTCTTACTCGTGTCCCGGGTGGTGGCAGTGGGCACGGCCCCAGCACGTGTCACGGCTCGCAAGGCGCACATCGCAGGGCCAGGTCACCACGAGGCAGAGCGAGAAAATGAAGGAAAGAGACAAGGACAGCACTGCGTGGGCGTGAGGAGCAAGAAGCGGCCGCATCTGCTTGGAAACAGGGACGCAATATCGAAAGGCCCGGTCAGCCGAATTGGCTGCGCTTCGTCGCTCTGTCTCTCTCGCACCTCTGCGGGGCGCGCCGTGAGTGCGAGAGAGACGGCCTGCTCGGCCTGCTCGGCCCCGCCGGCTGCACGGCACGTGTGCGCGGGCCGCGCGGGCTGCAGCGCTGCTGCAGCGGGGCGCGTGGTTATCACTCGCTGAGCAGGCGAAGAGGGTTGCAATCTCGCAGGCACTATGGACCGCCTTACGCAAGGCGCGCTGAGCGCGGCGTTTTCGGGGGTTCTTCGCAGAGGTGAACTTGAGACTGTTCTGGTCGTGCTGCAATCCCCGGTTGGTCGGTGGCGCGTCAGGCTGGCAAAAAAAAGAAAGGAAAAGAGACTATCAAATCGGCTAGGACGTTCAGTCAATGCGACTGAAAGAGACCCCTCCACTGTTTCTGCCTGTTCGACAAAATTCAGCATCGCTTTTGCTTTCCCGTATCTCTCTGAAGTCGCACTGCAAAAAGTTGCCCGTTCCGTTTTATTTTTGCAACAAATTGGTTTCGCGGCCCGAGGCCCGAGGCCGCGAGACCGTCCGCACACACGCGCCGCGCCACCGGCGGCCCGGCGGCAGTGCGTTGTATTTTCGGTGGCGATTCGCCCCCCGCGTCGGCGCCCTTCTCTCTCACACTCGTGGGCCGCCCCGTGGGGGTGCGAGGGAGACGGGGCGACGACACCGCGGTGCGGAATACACGCCCCGCCGCACAGTGGGCCAGGAGACCGGTGGAGCGGCCAAAACTCTAGACGCGTTTTGAGCTCCAGAGTCACTAAGTAGGACGAGAACCGAACGTGTGACCCCATCAATGGATTCCTCGTTCGGAGAGCAATCCATTGGTGGGGTCACACCTTCGGTTCGAGTCCTGATTAGCGACTCTGGAGCTAAAAACGCGTCTAGAGTTTTGGCCGCTCCACCGGTCTTGTGTCCCACTGTGCGCCGGGCCGCGCGCTGCGACGTGCGGGTGGCTGCTGTTTGCTCAGGTGCGACGTGCAGGCCGTGCACGCCGTGCAGGCCGTCGAGGCCCGCGGCGTGGTGGCGCACTGTCAGCTTCATGGAAAGCCCGCGTGTCGCTCGCGCTGGGACGTCAGGGCTTACGTTAGCCCGCGTTGGCCCCGGCCGCGGCTTGCGGTGGGCTGCCGGTTCGGCGGCGGTTCGAGTCCGCCGTGCCGTGCCGTGCGTGGCGTGGCGTGGCGTGCGGGGTAACGAGGCTTGGCGATTATACGGGATCACGCCGGCGCACGCCTGTCACGCTGACGCGGTCCCGTGGCTGCCCACGCCACGCCACGCCGCCCGCGCCACGCCACGCCACGCCGCGCCGCGCCACGCACGCGGCGAGTAAACGGAACAGCGTGAGCCAGGACGGCTAATTGTGCCCGGCCTGCCGCAATAAACTCCTTAGCGCCGTCATATCTCACCGGAAGATGCGACTGTGGGTGTGTGTGTGTGTGTGTGGCGGCGTTTAGCGCAAGCGCTCACCGTGATGGTGTGATCCACACACACACACATACACACACGCACACACAGTCGCAGAGAGACAGAGCGCGGCGGCGGCGGGGATGAGCAGTACGACTCGAATAGCAATCTCAATCTGCATGTGTAATGCCTTGTTGCCGCGCGGCTCATGATGGAATTGCAATGTGGGGGGATACAGACGCGCGCGGGGGATGTGTGCGCTGTGACGGGCAATGTTTAGCTGTCCTACCCCGTTTCGACCTCCCCCCCCCCCTCTCTTCCTGTTCCGACTGCCGGACAGACAGTTTGCTTTGCTGTCAAGCCGCGCGGCGTATGCGCTGCGGTCCCTTTTACACGATTTTGCCGTTTGTGTGTGTGTGTGTGTGTGTCCTGTCGCTGCTCGGGCTTGGCTTGCAGTGAAGGGGTAATTCCCTCCGACGGCAGTGAGATGGACGCGGCCCGGTTGAAGCTTGAGAGAGGCTGGAGCCCCTGGCAGTGTGGCGTGTGCTGCGGTGCGGCCTGCCTGCCGGGCGTGCCGCTTCGCGTGCTGCGCCGCCGCGCAGTGGGCCATAAGACCGGTGGCGGCGGTCGAAATCCCAGACGCGTTCTATGAGAGCCCCAGAGTCCGAGGGGTGAATCACTAGTGTACTCATGTGTACAAATTAGTCCGTACTCAGTGTACTCACAAGTTTAAAGGGGGCGAAAAATCACCAGTTTTTCGCCGATTTGGCGCTGAGTGCCGTTTAACGCTAATAAAGCCTTAAAACGTGTACAATATGAATTTATGAGTAAAATATAGTGTACTCACCCGTACTCATGTACTCATGTGTACATCAGAACGCCGAGTGATTCACCCCTCGCCAGAGTCGCTGAACGGGACTCGAACCGTAGGTGTGACCCTTCCAATGGATTGCTCTCCGAACGAGGAATCCATTGGTGGGGTCACACATTCGGCTTTAGTCCTGTTTAGCGACTCTGGAGCTCAAAACGCGTCTAGAGCTTTGGCCGCTGGCGTCGGCATTCTGGCCCACTGTGCGCCGCGTCGCCGCGTGCCGCGAGGTCGTGTCTCGCGTCGGCGCCAAACGCGGAGGACTCCGCCAGCCGCGTCGGCCGCGACTGCTCTGCGGTCGTGCGCACGCAGTTAGGTGCTACTTTGTTGTTGGGTCACTTCCGGCCTCGCTGTCCGCGCGCGGCGCGCGGGGCCCAGGTCTGAGGGCTGCGAGGGCCTGGAGGGACCCACTGTGAACGTCTGGGCCGCGACGCCGCGACGCCGCAACGGTCCCCCCGTTGTGCAA